TTCTATGCTTCTATGATTCTATGCTTCTATGATTCTATGCTTCTATGTTTCTATGCTTCTATGTTTCTATGTTTCTATGCTTCTATGTTTCTATGCTTCTATATGTTTCTATGTTTCTATGCTTCTATATGCTTCTATGCTTCTATGTTTCTATGTTTCTATATGTTTCTATGTTTCTATGCTTCTATATGTTTCTATGCTTCTATGTGCTTCTATACTTCTATGGTTCTATGCTTCTATGATTCTGTGCTTCTATATATTTCTATGATTCTATGAGTCTATGCTTCTATGATTCTATGCTTCTATGGTTCTATGCTTCTACAGTATATTTCTATACTTCTATACTTATATGCTTCTATGAATCTATGATTCTATATGTTTCGAATTCTATGCTTTTAAATTGAGGTGATGTTCTCTATCGAGTCGTAGCCGGTTATTTAATTTAAAAATGCAAAACAGCACAACAGCCGATATAAATTCTGACGTGTTTTTGACAATGGTCATCTCTGGAAACAGTTGTTGTGGGTGGTTTAGTTTCATTTGTTAGTGATGTAGTCATCTGGAAGCTTCCTCAAGGACAAAGGTTACTGCATTTCAGAGACTCTAGATTTTAGCCCACGCCTCTCACCATTGGAAGAAGCCTAGCGCCCCCTCTGTTTCTACTCTTTGAAGTTAAATTGTCTGTTCAAAGTAACCAATTGTGCGCCAGTGCTTTCCCCGTTGACGAGTTAAATAATAAAGTACAAAACGCAAAGGGAATTGCTCTCATAATAACACAAGCGAAAATGTGCATCATTGCGGCATTTCGATTTTGGATGTGAAATATTATTTCTGCCGGTATATGTTTCAAGAACACATTTTGTGACCATTAATGTTAGTTATCAATAATTTATGAAGAAAACACAGGTTAAATCATGTGGGCTCGGAGCTGTGGTTTCTAGTGCAGGGGCCGGTTGTTCAAAGCTGGGTTGGCTTAACCCTGGGTTAACCTAAAATTCAAAGCAAACTTCCTCACAGCTTGTCTATAAATTTGTATATATTTTTTCAGAGATCTTGTCTGTATCGATAGGAGTTTACTTCTCTGAAGTTTTGAAATAAAAAGACGTGCAGAAATACACAAACTAAAACAGCAGGTTAAATTTTAACCCTGGGTTAAGTGGTTAATGCTAACCCACCTTTGAACAACCGGCCCCAGGTCTCTTCAGTGACACTTGTTTATTGCGGGAAAATATGTTTAGGCATGGTTCCGCACATGGAATAGGTTGTGGATATATAGCCCGCGTTTTTAACTTTTTTGCCAATGATCATGATGGGTTTGAAGGCTGTTTTCCGTTTTTTCATATACGTGGGTGGGCGCACAGAAGAGTTTAAATCTTTTTAAATTTCATATATTAGTACTAATTATCTCGACAAATATACTCATTAAATCATAGCGGCAGAAAACTAAGTGCTGTCTTTTTATTTATTCAGTTATTTCATCAGTAAAATTTAGAAAGTTTTTTCCGTGCGTCCACTCGCGTAGCTATGAAAACTCTGAAGTTTGACTTGGTGCATTAATTACATAATATTATAAATGTCGTGCAGTATAACAGTGGTATTCTAAAACTCTCTTTAATTAATATCAACAATTATGAAAATCTAGTTATCTCTATACAATCTATATCATATTCATATATAAGTATATGTATACATATATAGCTATAATTTTTGTATCAGTGAACAAGTTACCGATATTAATTTTAATTAACATACACTAAATAGTAAATAAGAGATTGAAATTCATGATAACATTTTCATCGAAGTTTCTAAATGTTTTCATGTACAGCTAATTCAGAAAAGGTTGTCGTTTGCAAACCTTAGACCTTAAACTCTAAGCGTGCAAAGCATAATGGGAGCATCATTTCAGTTCAGAAATCATATATGTGACCCATTTCTTAGAGACATTGTAAATATCTCCGCACAAGAACAATTCATTCACAAATATAGTTGCAATATTCAACATTGAGCTTGACATTTGTGCTATACCATTAATTAAGCTTTGCGCGCTTATATAGAGTTTAAGGTTTAGCATTTAGGATTTGCAAGGGACAACCTTTTTTGAATTAGCCTGTATATTTCGCGAAATTATCTGCGCCATATGATGTAGAAATTTAATTATAACGTATAGATCAGTCGGGAAATTGGTCAAATTTTCACAGAAATTGCTTGAACCAAAAGACAAATTTGGCCAGTATAGGGCTGTGTTTAGTTATTCTTACCAAAATGCATGTGTCGGTTGGTCAGCTTGAAGAAAAGAATGGCTGTAATATTTAATAAACTTTTTCAATGCCACATAACGCGAAAAAAATTCCCTACAACTATAGGATTGGCTGGATTGCAATACTGCATTTGGCCAGTATTATATAATTATGAACAAACTGAGCTACTCATTCTATACTTGGTACTCGTCTTCGCTTGTTTTTATTTGGTTTGTCGTTCTTTGACAACCCATCCTTCAGTTTAGCAATTTCACGTTTCTGCCGTCGTTCTAGTTCGCCTAAAAAACATGTTTACGTTAAAGAAAACGTTACACCCATGGCACTGTTAACTCTGCATGAATATAGCAACATATTCACTATTCAGTTTTAAGATTAAATAAATCTTACTCTACAAATTTGTGTGTTGAGCACTCTTGGCAATGTTTTGTTATTGCAGTATAAAATGAAGATTGCTCAACACACAAATTTGTAGAGCAATATTTATTTAATCTTAAAACTGAATAGTGAATATGTTGCTATTCATGCATGCAGAGTTTGCGAAATTGCATGAAACTCTGAGTAGCAACATACACTATTTTTAAGATTAAATATATATTTATATATATATAGATTATACGTCATTATTAAAATGTGACGTTTATAGCTACAATATATTTTGTTAAGACTTTATTTTGTAGTTTGCAACTCAAACGTTTATTATAAAGTTAAAGATTTTTTAAATCTATAACAGTATAGTCGCGGTCGCAATATATTTTCACAGTCTTGACCGTTCGTGTAACCTAAATTTCCTCTAGCTTTAATTTTATAACAGGTGGTTCGTTTTCCCACTTTCGTTTTGCGATGTGTGTTTGTGGAAAACGATCAATCCTTCCTCTGTTTAAACATTCAAGAAAGTGAACTCTCATTTTCGTCTGATCAAGCGTTACATCTTCTGGTCGATTTCCACTGCTTAATTCTGCAGCCCAAGCAATTGCGAATAACCCACAATCGGTTGACCCAGTTTGGTGTTGACTTGGAAGTATCTTCACTTCCAAGACGTTATCTTTAGCCATTGGTTGATAAATCGTTGCTAATTGCACTGGCAAATCAGGACTTAAGCTGTCATAAATACTATCAAACACCTCTACACAATCACCGGTCGAACATGACGTTATCCAGTGGTTATCTCGAACATGGTGAATTTGTATGCATTTTGCTTGCGAAGCAATTGGAGTGAACATTTTCGTTTGAGAAAGCAGGGTGTCCTGAAATCCTTTAATCCGCGGAAATTGCAGTGAAAGGATTTTTTGTGCGGCGTTTATATGGTTATCATTCAGTTTTTTGTGAGAAGTAATGATCGCCCTGTCGCTATTGGTCAAATGTATTCGTGCCTTCCAATACTGCTGTTTGTTGTCTGCAATTTGGAATGAAACAATTATTGCCGTGACTGAAAAACGTTTCTGATAAATTTGTAAAAACTAAGTCGCATTTTACTTCTAGAGAGACGGATGATTATCTAGTGAATAAAACTTCATTTTAGATCGGTTACCTTTATCCTGGATCGTAGCATTTGGACATGTTTTTGCGGGTTCTAGACTCGATGAACCTAATATATAGAAACACGGAAAACATTAATTTCACTTTGAAAGAGACAGATGCATTAATGCCAAAACTTCAGTGAAAACGGTTGAAAAAATAATGAATAGCCAGTTTTTGTGCTATTCCGTCAACCTCGATCTATTCCGTGAGATATTCACAAACAGTCTTCCAATAAAATCGTAAGTCGTCGAGAGGACGCGTTTTATTAAAAACATAACACATTCTTTATAAATTTAGTTGGCAAATATTTCCACAGTCACAGACTTGTTCTGCAACTAGCAATTAAGATTTCAATTGAGGCAATTGGATGAGATCAGTACCTGTATCCTGCATGTTCGTACCACTTGCTCCTACATCCATCGGGTTCTCATTTGATATGCCTGATGTAAAGAGACAGATGCATGCATTATAATGCCAAAACGTCATTTGAAAACGGTTAACTAAAACGGGAACATGGTCCCTATATATTTAAAGGGACATGACCAAATGGTTTACTTCGTTTCTGAAATTTGGAATGAAACAATTTAATTGTTGCTTTTATAAAAACTAAGTGAAAGCAGCTTGAGATATCGGTTACCTGCTTCCTGATTCTTCCCATGTGGTCCTGTCTCGGAGTCTTTTTCTGAATCCTTCAGGTCTTTATTAGATGTACCTACAACAGAGAGAATGACCACATATTTAGTATATGTAAATTGTAATGTATTTATATGTAATCCATTCTCGGTCTTATATCAGTATTTCTACAAACATCACAATGCCAACTTTTAAATAATGAATAGCCAGTTTTTGTGCTATTCCGTCAACCTCGATCTATTCCGTGAGATATTCACAAACAGTCTTCCAATAAAATCGTAAGTCGTCGAGAGGACGCGTTTTATTTTAAAAACATACCACATTCTTTATAAATTTAGTTGGCAAATATTTCCACAGTCACAGACTTGTTCTGCAACTAGCAATTAAGATTTCAATTGAGGCAATTGGATGAGATCAGTACCTGTATCCTGCATGTTCGTACCACTTGTTCCTACATCCATCGGGTCCTCATTTGATATGCCTGATGTAAAGAGACAGCTATAAGAGCATGCAGTGAACATAAAACCAGGACCTAGTTTAAAACCAGGATCTTTATCGCTGTGCCATTAACGTTTGAACAAAGAAAACTAGGTCAGTTTTAGAGAGAGAGCATGTATACATAAAACTTCATTTGGAGGCAGGGAGCCCCCCCCCCCATCCCCACCCCAACCGCATGTGAAACTCGCGTAATTTGCGTAATAAAGTCATTATTTTTGTGAAATGATAACTATTTTTGTAAAATACAGTCAATTTAGATCAACTCCTGTTGTTTCCTTGAAATTTACAGTGTAAATAAAGAAACCTGGAAACTGACAAATTGTTTTTGATGTTCTCGTCAGAAAGAACAGCTGCTTGCGCTGTTTTCATCATTTGAATAGAACAAAACACTTCATCAGTTCGGATATTAAGAAAAATAGTGGCTCCGCATGAGATTTTTTTTCTCAACTCAGGCAGATAACCATATTCTTTGCTTTTGATAATTATTGATATCATGGTCAATCGTCAAATGTTTCTCATTAACTTTTATAGTTACTAAAACAAATGTATACAAACCATCATTAATTCGATTTAACTCGGCATCGTTCTTCTCTTCCGGAACGATTGCATTTCCTGTCACCCCAGAGCTGGATTCGGCGGAGTTGATTTGGAGCGCCTTTTCTCCTGCAGGTACGGAATCGTGCTGTCTGCCTTGAAGAACTATAGAAAACAATGACAAAAAATTGATAGCATAATGAAATGCATAATTTTTAGCTTCATTTATAAGGCATTTTTTTTTAAAAAATGCTAAAAATATATACAGGCCATAACTCATAAGTACTAGATAAAACATGAGCAGCCGATCTTTATCTGATATATCAGATAAAGATCGGATGCAAATGTTTTATCGTGCTCATATAAAACAACCCATCTTTTCAGTTCATTAGCGAAGTAAT